AGTCATCACCACCCACCACCAACTCGTGTGCTACTCTTTTACCAACGAATAGTAGGATTGACCGTCACTTTATAACGCCCCCACGACTGAAAGGGTATTCGAACCCGTGACCCTCAGATTGCGAGTCGAACGCCCTAACCACCTGGCATTGCCGGGTCAGCTACTTAGTACTTGCTAGAGTTAAGTTAGGAACGTGTATCCTTATTCCTTACTACAGATAACCCAGAAACTTATAACTTATTATACTTGTAAAAGTAAGTTACGAAAACCATACACATAATTGTGTTCTTTCATCCCTTCTTAATCAACCTTTAAGTAATAGTACGTCTTTGGTACCACTGTTATCTAGCAGTGCTTATGTTTGTGTTTACTTTTCTTCTCTCATACTTCTAACATCTGCATTCTCCCTTTTATTTTTTCTGCCTTTAGACTCCATTCAAGTGGGCAGTCAGCCGGAGACCATGAGTCAGTTCCTTTAACTTGGCGTGCTTGCTCCACTTCAACGACTGTGCAGTCGAAACACCTCCTGTACCGTCCAATCATCGGCCTTGAATTCCCATATGATGTCACCAGAGGAAGACTTGGAAAGTGTAACCATACGTGATAAGCTATTAAAGACCAAAACCAAACGGTCGCGACAGAGAGTAGATGCGGGTGAACCAAGAAACAGCTACTCTACTATTACCAACTTCAATACTGGGACAAGTCCGTCTATTCATACGTATGAGAATGGATATAGTATGTCTCTGACTAATAGGGTTTATGAGAGTTTAGTAACTCGCCAAAACAGAGAGTGTTCCAATATGGTGATAGACTCAGTTGTGTCAGATGTCACTCCTAAAAATAGGTACAGCCAGAACATGGTGTCCGAGAAACAAAGCCAAAATAAGATGTGCCTGAACGATGGTGCTACTTCTGATGCACACATGACTTCTTTGTACATTCATAGCGTCGAATGCCTTTCTGCAGCACCAATGCCAGAGACCGGTAACTTTCTCCAGGACTCTCTGAAGAGCCGAATACCAACTAATTTGTCTGGCAGTGTACTTCAAATTTCCGTAGATGAGCGAATAGAAAACAGGTCTGCAAGCCGAGATAAAATGTCCGACCCAGAGCAGATCCAGCAGCACCCTTCTCCTGCTCACAGTCCCGTGGCTTCTCCCAGCCCAGACTGTAGTCGAAGTCTAGTCTGTCCTCGAGTAATGCCCAATAGCATGTCCACGTCTGATAGTAAAGCTCTAGAAGTCAAGCGCGCTCGTGTTGAAAACATTGTGTCTATGATGTTACAGGGCCCAAGTGATCCACGCCCGCCAAGGAATTCTTCTCGGGTTCCTGTGAATGGCTATAAAAAGAGAAAACTCTACCAGCCTCAACAGCACGAAGCTACTAGAATTCTGAACGGAGATAAAGAAGTTAAAGAAATAGAAAGGGGGGATAATCAAACGTTTATTGGACCACTACCTAAGCAACATCGTACAGCAAGAGATCTTAAGTCACAACTTCAAAAAATGCAAGAACAGCTAGCTGTTATTCAACAACGTTACACTGAATTTCTTCACGATCAAATCGAAAATTCCTCAACCGAGAATACAGATGCATTTTCACCATCAGACCATCAACAAATAAAGCCAGAGATTAAACCACAAGCATACCCCCATTCTAGTACTGTTGAAGGACGGGATGAATTCCCATCGTTGTCTGTTCCATTATCTGCAAATAATAGTGTAGCCATTTATCCTGAACTAACAGAAAACATTCGTTTAAATACTGTAAAATATAAGAAGAATGCTGTTCATATTACTGAAGAGGCCAGAAGACTAGAGCGAGGTAGTCAAGAAAACGAACTGAAGGATCGAATCCAAGAAAGCCGCCAATCATGTATTGTCAAACCAAACAGTCGTTCTGGTCAAACTGAGCTGACCACTGACTTAGATATTCTGGTTGGTGATCTCAAGTCTGAGATCTCAACTAAACTGGCACATATTATTGACTCTATTGTGACAAGATATAAGCAAAACAGGTCATTTTCTAAAACATTGGAGTCAGAACCACCAAAAGATCTGCCATTTTTAACTCAAATTCTTGATTCTCCCCTTACCAAGGTAGTAGACCGAGGCAGCGGGGACAACAGTCAGATTTTGGCTGATCAGAGATCCAATGATTTTCCTTGTGATTCAAGTCCCAGACCTCCTGCTTTCTATCCCCTAGGAGTGAGGCCTTCCACAACACTATTCTGTCCAACTCCCTCATCTCAAACAATGCATCTATCACCAATGAACATCTCTCACAATTTTCCCATTTCCCATCCCCAACTCTCAGGAAGCCTAGAGGGAACAGGAATGACCATTAGTAATGACATAATGGAACAAACAGAAGCCATTTCTTTTGTGATGATGCCCAAAAAGAAGCGTCACAAGGTAACTGATACAAGTGCGATCCCTCATCTTAGGAACTGGTCAATTAGTCAAGAAGATTCTGTACCCAAGTATTCTTTCATTACTAGCACGACACAACCTTCCTTGGGGCCCCCTAGTTGCCCCCATCATCCTCCACCTTTGATCCCCATATGCTTACCCACTTCTGTAGCTATTCCCAACCCGAGTCTCCACCATGCAGAATTTTATCACTTTGACAACTCCAAATTAGCATACTTCACTCAAGAGAATAAAGACGACGACTCTTTTCCATCATCACCTGCAATACAAACTCGCTACCCTGGTTCCCAAGAGTTCCCTAATGACTCATTGCTCTTCTCCTATCTGAAACAAGACTTGGAAGATGAATCAAATGGTGGAGACAGCCAGAACTACGAGTCAAGTCTTCCTACCATATCCTTTTTTTCTCCTTTATTTTAGAGCATATAATATAACAGTGAGTTTATATTGGGTTTTGTTTTAATGTATTTCATATACATATTACATGTACACAGGTCAATATTGCCTTATTTTAGTAACGACGAAAAGTCGTTGTGTTTCATATACCAGCTAGATAAATCTCCCCTGCAGCCTTAGCATGATCAAATGTTACCTATGCAGTTATTATCAAAATATTTTAGATACACTTTGCATACTTAAACTTGAGAATCCCTGATTAAGTGCCTGAAAATAATGACACTCGCTAGTTGCATTAATGCTAGCGCCTCCCACTGGCACAGCAGTGTGTCTGCGGACTTACAACGCTAGAAACCGAGTTTCGATAGCAGTGGTGGGTAGAGCACAGAAAGCCCATTGTGTAGCTTTGTGCTTAATTCCAAACAAACATTAATGCTAGCAACAGTTTCATCCTTACAATATTTAATTGAAGTTTAAACCTTTGAACCAATTATGTCATCCTCATATATTTTAGGATTGTACAGTATAAATTAATGAAAAGTTCTAATCTTAACGTGATTTTGTGATTAAGATCTTTGACCTAATCGTGTATATTGTGTACACGTTGTATAAATAGATAGTTATTACTGTCATGTAATTATGCTTGTCTTTCGTTTTTAATTAATTAAGTTAAAGGAATTATTTATGACACTCGAATGCAGGCACTCTTGCGTCGACCCTAATTATGCGATGAAGTACTTGGTGCAGGTTACCTGCTAGTATCTTGTGTTAGCTTAATTGATGTTATTATATTACTGTTTTACAAATCTAAGAAGTTGCATATGAATTATTTGTAACTTGAAACAGTTTCTTTATTTTGTATAAACTACGAACTGATACTTTAATTTGATATAAAATGTTAAAAATTATATATTGTTGATAAGTGCCCCTAGTGAAGAGTAATCCTACTCATCTCTAATAACTGTAACTTTACTCACCTCTAATGTTAACAACTTGTATTCGCCCTTAATTAGTTGTAATTCTACACACCTTTAGTAATTACAAGAAATTGAATTTGTGCTGTTGTCAAGTCAAGAGAGTCCTGAGGTCACTGCGACCATTGTGGCATCTTGAATGTAGCAACAACTTTCCTTTACTCTATGTTTTGCTACTTCGTGTACTATGTCAGTTGAAGCTTCGTCCAGCTTCTTTTTAGTCTTCCTCTTTTTCTCTTTCCCTCCACAGCACTTTACATTATGATGTTGGCAAAGGTGCCTAGCTTTCTTGTAATGTGTCCAAACCATCGCAACTTCCTTCATCGCACAACCTCTAACAACGGTTCATAGGCTCCAATTTTTTGAATGATTTGCTGCTTGACAGACTCATTGGTCTGGTGCTCATTGTACAAAATATGCAGCAGTCTCTTAAAGCAGCGCATTTCAAATGTATCAATTCTGTTCTCTAGCTTCTTGTTAAGCATCCATACCTCACAGCCATAAAACATCACAGAACTGACTACTGCATGCAGCAGATGTAACTTTATCTTCAGTGTAATGTTGATGATTGTCCAGTTTTTCCTTAGTTTAATTAGTTGGGTGGTGACAATGGCTATTCTAGTCTTGACTTCTTTTTCAAATCTTAACTCTTCTGTGTTGGTGGCTCCTAGATATCTAAAAAAAATTGTTACTCTTTCTATTTTTTCATTGCCGATATTCACATCAACATTGCTGTCGATGGTCTTAGAGGTTGTCATCATTTTGCTTTCTTCAACATGTATTTCCATTCCGTAGCTCTTTGCAGTTTTGTAAGTTCTTGAAGCCCTTCTGGTGTCCCTACTATCAGATCAAAATCATAGCAATATACAGGTTGTTGTGCTTCCACCCTCCAATTGATAACGTTTCTGTGAAACGTTTTAAGCCATTGACATGATTTGTTTGAGAAAGAGGTTGAAAAGGCATGGTGAGAGCAGGCAACCTTGGCACACTCCTAATGAAGTCACAAACCATTCAACTATGTTGTTGTCGATCAGCACTCCACTAATTGCATTGCTGTAACGTTCTTCTGTTAGTGTTATCGAGCATTTGCTACTGTGATGCTTCTTCATCATGAGCCAAAATGATTTGAGCAACCAACTATCAAGAACTTTCTGGAAGTCCATAAAGTTTTGGTGAAGTTCTTTATGGTGATCACCTTACTTCTTACACAATATTTGGATGTTGAAGATTTGCTCTATGATACTTCTTTCCGAACACAGGCTTAAGTTTGTTCAGTATTAGTCATAGAAGTACTTTGCTTGAATGGCTGATGAAACTGATATTGTGGTAGTGTGCATTGGTAGAGATTCTCCTTTTTTTGGATGACTGATTTTGTCCACTGGGTTGGCTAAGTTTTCTCCCTCCTAGAGTCTACAAATAATTCTACTGACCTCTAGTGATTACAACGAGTTCTATTGAACATTTAATGACCAAGAGTAATTTTATTTGGTCAGTAGGGAAGATTTTTTTTTAGTAAAGGAAAGCTTAGTTTCAACAACCTCAAACCTCTATCTTTTACCAGCAAAAATATTTGCAGATTGTATTTGTTAGAACTTAGTACTTCTTGAAATATTTTCATGCAATGCACTGTGATTTTTTTGAATATGAAATGTCGGAGCATTTTGGATTCATTATCAATTAACTCAAGTATGGTACTAATAATTAGAGAAATGCATGTTTAACTTAACAATAGTATCTTTTAAAGTGACAGTGTACATACTGTAATTTAATTAACAATGGTACCTTTTAAAGCATCAGTATATATAGTGTAATTTAACAATGGTACATTTTAAAGCAGTGGTATACATAGTGTGATTTAACAATGGTTTCCACTAAAAATGATGATATATATACTTAGATACTATAATGTATCAATGGTATCTATTAAAGTGGGAATGTACATACTGTGACATAGCAACTGTATCTATCAAAGCGGGACTATACATACTGTAACTTAACAATGGTACTTACTGAAGTGGGAGTATACATACTGTCACTTAACAACGGTATCTATGAAAGTGGGAGTATACATACTGTAACGCCACAATGGTATCTATTAAAGTTTTACTTGTTTTAATATATTATTTTAAATCAAGTGGATTATATGCTGTTTGTTTATTGTTGATATTTATCACCAACAAGTCACAGATACCTACAGTAAATAATCCGGCTCATACATATATAAAAACCTGACACTTAACAACGGTATATTAAAGTGGGAGTATACATACTGTAACTTAACAATGGTATCTATTAAAGTGGGAGTATACATAATGTAACGCAACAATGGTATCTGCTAAAGTAAGAGTATACATACTGTAACGCAACAGTGGTATGTATTAAAGTGGGATATACATACTGTAACGTTACAACCGTATCTATTAAAATGGGAGTATACACACTGTAACTTAACAATGGTATCTATTAAACTGCTTTACTATGTGCGTTTGTGACGGAGCCTCTCCATTCTGACGATGTATTTTTCCAGCACGTGTTTCGGCTTGACATATTGGTC